CTGCCTGGAAGGTAGCAGAAGACACCAGTGATCAGGTAGAAATGGAGGGAGGAGAGTTTAACTTCGAACAATCCAGGAAACAAATAGTTCTTCTTAAACCTCCATATTGTCACGTCAGAGTCTCATGGGGTTAAATTTACCAGATGGAGAATAGTAAATGGTTCTTTTATTGTATGATGTATGAACATTATTATTTGGGTGAGAAGAAGCTGTTGTAGAGCGAGGCGGGGAAGGTTTGGATTGTTTTCTGGGAGGAATGTGAACCAGTGACTCTTATTTAAACCCCAATTAATGACACAATGCTCTGCTGCCAAAAGATTTTTGGAAACTCTCCATCCACACACGCTTCACGGGTTTAACTGTTCTTTTTTTTTCTCTTTAGCAATGATTTAGATGACAAACTCTTTTCCTCTAATTGAAGAAATAATATGTGATATCTGATTTGTATTAGATTTAAAATTTTATGTTTATCCAGGTCATTATTTAATATTAAGATGAAGCAACATTTTTAAAAGATTTCTAATTCTTTTTTAATGCTCTTGTCTGCAGCAACATTTTGGTTGAATCCTCAGTTTAAGATCATGCTACAGCACCCAGACACCCCCGGCAAGCCAGACTGTAGCTTTCTGGTCGCCCTCATGCAAAAAGACCGCAGGAAGAAGAGACGAGAAGGCAAAGATATGGAGACCATCGGGTTTGCTCTGTATGAGGTCAGTGGTGGTCCACACAAATCATGTTTCCTCTTTGTTTTTTGAATGTCTAATATTCTTTTTGTGTTTTTCTTTTTGTTTTACAGGTTCCAGATCAGGTACATTTCTATAGTACATATATAATATTTATTTTGTCACTTTTTTGCATCTTTTTTTTCAAACCATGCCATAAATGCCCATAGGAATAAAACATACTTTGCAACCTGTAATCCTCTTAGTATGCGGGGAGCTCGGGGGTCCACCTGAAGCGGGACTTCTTCCTCACTCACGCCTCCAGCGCTCGATCGGAGCAGTTCATCAACCTGAGGGAGGTCAGCTCGCGCTTGCAGTTGCCGGTCGGGGAGTACATCATCGTCCCCTCTACCTTTGAGCCCAATAAAGAAGGAGACTTTGTGCTGAGGGTGTTCTCTGAAAAACCTGCTGGTTCTGAGTAAGAAGAGTTTGATGAAATTCAGCTGACATTCCAGTGCCTGTTATTATATAATGAACCGAGTCGGTTGGCATCAAGATTTTAATCTATTTAGACTCCCAGTTAGGCTGTTTGCATTTATAATTTATATCTTGGATGACTTTAAATGAAGGGTTGAAAACTCACAACTGGAAGGATTTCTACAGTAAAAGAACAGAAGAATATAATTTAATTGTATCAGCCATAAAACAACTTCCATCCGTTTTCCATCACGCTTATCGCAAGTGGGGTCATGAGGGGTGCTGGTGCCTATGTCCAGCTGTATACAGGCGAGAGGTGGGGTACACCCGGGACAGGTTGCCAGTCCATCTCAACGCTGATACAAACAGGACAAACAACCATTTACACACACACTCACACCTAAGGACAATTTAGAGAAGCCAATTAACCTAACAGTCATGCTTTGTGACTGTGGGAGGAAGCCGGAGTACCCGGAGAGAACCCACGTATGCTCAGGGAGAACATACAAACTCCATGCAGAAAGACCCCGGGTCGGGAATCGAACCTGGAACCTTTTTGCTGCAAGGCAGCAGTGCTACCCACTGTGTCCTTGTGCAGCCAGAAACCATTAGAATGAAAAAATTAATTAAATTAAATAAAATAAATAGAAAAAAAAACATAAAACAACTTTAACTAGAAAATCGAATAATTTTAAGGAATATTAGGTTTGTATAGAAAATATGTTTTATTGGATTAGACGTAACATGCAGCTGTTAAAATAAGACTTTAGATATACAACAAATGAACAAACAAATATAAAGACAAAATTAATTAATGCTCTTATTTACAATTGAATAAAAAAGTTAATGTTTTTGCTGTCAGAAGCCAAATTAAAGATGTCAATAATGCATCAAAATAGACAAGAATTTAAGGCATGACGCAACTTATTAGGGTTTAAAGCAGAGGTGAGCTTTTTCCAACGTTTTTCCAATTTAGGTTCCTTTTTTAATAGTAATAATTGTACTGCTAAATAGAACTATGTAGGATATTTGTGTTAATGGGATTGATCTGTTTTTACCATGTTTCAGTTGAAATCAGTTTAATATGATGTTTAAAAATAATTGCACAATGTTTGCTTTTGCATTTTGAAATTAGGTTGGGGAATGAGAGGGGAAAAATGCTAAATCCAAGAATTAAGGTTTTTCTTCAACTGACATTTTTACCATGTTAAACGACCTAAATTATTTCATAAATGAATTCTGGTTTCAGCTTCAGGTTTTTCTGAATTGTGTCTTGCCAATATCAAAATGAAATAACAAATGTTTCCTCTTTTGCTGTCAGGGAGCTTGATGATAAAGTCGTTGCAAACCTTCCTGAAGAGGTGGGAGGATGTGTTTAATACATTAAACTACAAACTTATTTAATGTACTTTATAAAGTCTAATTAATGTGTTTGTTTGTGCCTCAGCCTACAGTTGATGAGAGCCGGATTGATGCCAGCTTCAAGAATCTCTTCCGGCAGCTGGCAGGACCTGTAAGCTCACTATAAAACTCTTTAGCTTGTTCTTCCAATATTTGTTGCTGTGAAAACCTTGTTTAATTCATCTGAATTTTCTGGTCCAATAGGACATGGAGATCAGCCTCAATGAACTTCAGACCATCCTGAACAGGATCATATCCAAACGTTAGTGATTTTTGGGAAAAAGGCATTTTTATTTTATATTTCTGCATCTCTCCTGTCATATATCTTATCCCACTCTCATTTTTTATTACCAGATCAGGACCTGAAGACAGATGGCTTTTCTAAAGAAGCTTGTCGCAGTATGATAAACCTCATGGACGTATCCTTGAAAACTGGAGTTCTTCTTTCTTTCTTGGTGGATTAAGCTGCCTGGAACTTTGGTTTTCTTTTTTACACCTTTTAAAATCCCAGATTTTCCTGAACTTTGTAACTCAGGTGGACGGAAGCGGGAAGCTTGGGTTGACGGAGTTCCATGTTCTCTGGGAAAAAATCCGACGATACCTGGTGAGATTCAGCACCATTGACTAAATCACTGGTCTAAATGGCAAAAGCTAGGAATCAAATGTAATACACAGTGGATTGTTAAAGCATTCATATCGCATGAATTGTGCAACCATAATTTAGATTTTTTTTAATGAAAATTGGATCTAATAGATAAGAAAAACTTGCATAATAATTTTAAATCGGGACATATGGTGCCCTGGTATGCTGTGTTATGCTGATGAAGATTCTCAGTCATCCAGGTCATAGGCATTCCAAAATAGTAAAAATGTGCCTGTCCCAAAAAAAAAAAGAAATTCCAGTGGATTTAAAAAAAAAAAAAAAATTTGGAATACCTCTGTTACTGTGGCAAAACAATGCAGCTCCAACTAAAACTAAATGGTTATTTCTATACAGAGTTTGCAAATGTAGATCCAATCTTGACTAGTTTACTAGATGCAACTAGTTTTTCCTTGATAAAAAAAAAAAATCCAAGTACCAATCAGAGTTTTATTTAGAGGGTATTTAGTTGATTTTTTTTTTTTTTAAATCCAGACCATTGCATCTTTGGTTGTATGTTTAGGGCTCTTGTTCAGTTGCAAGTCTTCCAGGACAGTCTTCAATTCAGTTCCATCCATCGTCTCCTCAGCTCTGACCAGCTTCACTAGCACTACTATTACGATTTGTATTTTTGTTGTTGTTGCCCTTTTCGTGCCAATTCTCCAGTCTTGCGAGAACTTTTCGATTTGGCTCAGTTTCAGCCTCATCGTGCGTCATGTAGCATACTGGGGGTAACGAGGGGCCATTAGCCCCTCACGACCACCTCCCGATGAGAAATCGTAAGGTCTGGAAAAAAAGATTGAAGAACATACTATGTGTGAGAACATACATAGTGAACTTTTACACACTGCTGTTTTGTCGTACAGTTTGAGCTGTGGCTCCGTGCAACGGTTAAAAATATTGCACAGTGTCTGCCCTGCTTTATTAGAAACATGCCCACAGCATGATGCTTCCACTATCATGTCTCACAGCAGTTGTTCAGGATTACTGAAAGGATTAGTTTTCCTCCTCACAGAGCATTCTGCAATTGATATAAGAGGGAAACATAAAAACATCAGAATCTTGTTTTTCTTTTTCTTCTTTCTCCAATAATGGATTTTAGACGATGGTTCCACCTGAGTTGAGGGTCTCTGCTGCTCTTCCAGCCACTTCAATGATTAATACTTTTCTTGCATACTTTCTGTTGGTAGATCATAAAAAATTATCCAAATACATGGAGATTTGTGGTAAAATAAAATAAAAAAATGGGGGTTAAGAGCAGTGAATGTATTTCCAGACCCCATAAATGAGACTTTTTGGTTAGCTTAAGGAAATCTAGGAAGAGATTTCTTTTTTTTTTTTGGGGGGGGGGCTTTTTGTTTGTTTACCTTTTGTGTGCATACAAGCCTTACAAGCATAACAAGGAATGAAGATCAAATTATTAAGATTTTCCATGAAATGGTGTTTGTATTTAGCAGAATAAACCAATCTATTTCAGACTCTCATCCATCAGTGCTACAGGGTATGAAAAACAAATGATGAAAATTTGTGCCTAACAATGAAAGTGTTGAAGTTCCTTTAAATTTGTGTTTTGAAAACTCTATTTACCGGTACTTTGATTTTACTATTATGTCTGCTTTTTAATGTATATTTTTCTGTCCCCCTGCCTCCATTTGCTTCTGCCATACCAGACTATATACAGACAGTTTGATTTGGACAAATCAGGCACCATGAACTCCTATGAGATGCGGATGGCCCTTGAATCTGCAGGTACTTCTCTGTTAAACTTTAATGAAAGAAAAGAGGGGGAAAAAACTCAACTCTGTGTTGAGGTCAGGCACATTTTAACCCTTTATTGTGCCATTTATCCTCTTTCGTTTTAGGTTTCAAGCTGAATAACCACCTGTTCCAGCTGATCATCCTGCGCTATACCGAGGAAGACATGAATATCGACTTTGACAATTTTGTCACATGTTTGGTCCGCCTGGAGACCATGTTCAGTAAGCCTAGTTTCTATCCCTGTGGTTTTAAAGTTGTTGCCAGGGAAAGTTGCTTCACTTTTTCCCAGAAAGAAGAACATGATCCGTTTTTCAGTTTATTTTTCACTAAAAACAAACAAAGAAAAAAAAATGTTAGACGTAATTGACTTCTTTTACTCTTCTTTCAACAGAAACGTTTAAAAACATGGACACGGATGGGGACGGGGAAATATCCCTCAACTTCTTTCAGGTAAAAGAACATTTTGATTGATATTTCTCATTTTTGTTAAGATATGTGTGATTCATTTCCTGTTTTCCTCATTCTTTAGTGGATTACCCTGACCATGTTTGCCTAGAAACGAGGGAACTAGATGAAGCACGTTCCGCTGCAGCTCCTGGCCCAGTATTCCCTGATTTTTCTTTACAAGTGCCTTTCCTCTTTCTGCTTCTCCTCTTCTCCAGGCTGCTTTCCGTTGAGGCCCTCTGATCCTAAAACAAACGGACTAGTCATTCCAGTGCCTGAATCAGAAATGTGCCAATTTTGTTGCTTGTTTCGCCAAATGAACATGGTTTACTTATTATAGCCTTGCTCACTCTGGGTGCCATTTTATTTTGTTTTTTTACCTGAAGGAATGCAAATCAATTACATGGGAATAAAACCAAATTATTGGTCGGGTCTAAGACGTTTTACTCTTTGCAGCACTTTTTTGTAATTCACAGAAAAATGTTTGACTTTAACATAACGTTGGGTTTAAAGGGATTAGGATTTCTTTTAAGACGATAATTCTTCACATGCTGGATTTTTCTTTTAGCATTAAGCCTTCGCGTTTGAAATGCTTACGAGTTCTCCCTCTAAAAAGAATACTTAACACCTATTTGGGGCTTTATGACATGTATGTTTTTTTTAACGCATGTAAAATGTGTTTATAGGCCGCACATCTCTTCCATGAGTTCTAGAGTTGTAGTAAAAGCACTCTAATTTTTAAAATGTCTTACCCATTTTTGATATTTTTTTTCAAACTCTAATAAAAGCATTTTGTTAAAAAATTTTTTGAGGTTTTTCACTGTCAGTTTTTGATGCGCTACTATTAGCTGTTTAGCTAATTAGCGCCTCCAGCGCTCTGCGACTCAGTAGTCTCTGTTATAAATTAAAAGTACAGCTAATTTTAAGTCGCTTTTAGTAAGAAGAAAATGTAAATGTCTTTTCTACAATAAATAATTGTCTGCATTTTGCTTTTGAAGGAATAGAGATCAGTTATAGCGCTAATAGCTAGCTAGAGCAGGGCTGAAAGTTAAAGTGATTTCATATTGCCTTTGTCAAACTTTTGTATAGCACTTTATATGAAAAAAATTATAAGCCCTCATTAATTTTTTTTTTTTTTACTGAAGCTGTATTCATCTAAAGTAAAAATTGGCACTTTAAAGATTTGAATGTAAAACTTAAGGTAAAAAAGTCCTGTTGTTCACTTTGTGTTCAAACAGATCATTTTGATGGAAAACAAGCTAACACTCTTTTGTAAAACTTCCAGACATCTATTTGAATAACTTTTAAAAATGAGACCATGATTTAATGGTTTATGAGATAAAGTTTGCATAAATGGATATGACATTTTTCATAATTGGAGTCGTTTAACCCGGCAGACATCTGCCTTTTTCTTAACTTTGCTACAGCTAGCCTGGAAAACTGACGTTAACTTAAAAAAACATCTCTGTTTTTGATCAGAGTAAAGTTGCTTGAACAGTAAAAATATACCTATATATTGGATCCAATCCATGTATCGGATCATTTCATCTCATTTTGAGTTATTTAAAGTCTGTTTTAAAAATTGTTCACTGCAGTTAATATACATATTAAGACAGAAAAAGTGCTGGATGACTGAATTTCCCCCCCTTTCTTTTTGAGGTTTTTCAGTGCAAGATGTAATTGTATTTTAAAATCTATGCTGAAAAAACTCAACTGGAACGCTTCTTTTATCCTCCTCTATCGTTTTTTTAATGATAGACATCAATGGTAATTCAAAGTCTGGACTTTTCCCTCAGTCTGGACAGCTGAGGGGAAAGACTTTCACAATATCCTAGTCCACTGGTGCATAAAGCCGACAAAATGAGAGCAAACCTCTCAAAATTACTTCCAGCATTTAATCTACAAACACAGAAAAATGTGCATAAATCTACAGCAGTGCTGCTGATTTAGAATTTTAATACTTCTTGTGCCATACTTGAAGTCCTGGATCAGCATTCATGCAACGTTACTGTGGCCTGGCAGTTTATGCAAACACATAGGTATTGCACTGTATCACAGAGAATGTGTTGTATTTTATATATCTTATCCTGTTTAGCTTTATCATATACCTGCTCATTATTATGCATGGCATTCCAGACTGTTCTGTAATATGTGGGGGTGGGGGTGTTGTACCTTTTTGTGACGGCTAGATTTTATACTCTGGGCAGGGGATAGATGTGTGCTTTCATTTTAAAGTTTATAATGAGTAAAAAAATGTGCAAAATGGATGGATAGTGTGTGCATGATGTGTCAAACGTAAAAATTATCCTCTGTGATCCGTTTTTCTATATTGGGAGCAAGATTTTGTGAGAGATTTACATATAAAATGTTGCAGCTTTTTCAGCATTAAGCCTTTGAATGTTTCATACATGCAACGGATTTACATGTTTGCCATTATAATTTTTTTTAATACAGTCTTTAAGTGGGAGAACAGAATTTGCGACCTGTCTCTTTAAGTCAAGAAAGCCAACCCCTTTACTTTGCATCATGTGCTGTGCTCTTTGACATTTGCAGCATACTACTTATGTAATGTTGTGTCAAGTTTACACAGGGCGAAATTCTGGGTCACTTTGAACTAATACATCATGCACCGTTATGGTTTATGTTTGAGCTTCTATACACACTTTGAAAATAAACAAGAGCCTTTGAATCCACCATCAATGAAGTCTTTCATTTTCTTAAAGTGTGAAAATAAGGTCATAATTATGGAAGAAATACCTAATTGAAACTCAACCTTTATCACTGTAGTATTATCTCAGAAAAAACCTATTCTATTTGTAATAGGATAGAGGGGAAAATGCCATAATATTGATTTTAATCCATTTTACCAGTTGTGAAGTTATTTATACACTAATCAGTACATTTTGTTCTACTTCTTTAACTCTTTCCTCTGATATTCTTCATGGTTGAAGTAAACCAATTAAATTTAGTTGATGTTGCGTCCAATTCACATGTCATTAAAAGGCACTTTAAAGAGAAATTTACCAGATGATACAGCCAGATTGGATCAAAGTTTTCTATCCAAGGGAAACCAGCTGATTGCATCAACACTTCAGTTATCCCTCACACCAAGCATACATGTAGGGACAGTGGAGAGGAAAACTCCCTTTTAACAGGAAGGAACCCCCAGCAGAACCAGGCTCAGTGTGAGCGGCCATCTGCCGATGCCGACTGGGGTTCAAGGAGACAGAAGCAGACATACAGAAAGAAGCAAAGATACAAAAGGCAACTGTCAACCAGCTCCACAGGCTGCCCTGTCCAGGAAACACACAGCCAGGCAGACAAGTTCTGAGCAGGCTTCCATGTCAGAGGATGAAAGAGAGCACATCTAGTTAGTCACAGTAAGAGAAACGGGACTTAACACTAAAAAATAGGCCAAGCTCCAACATCTAAAAACAATGTTGATGGCAGCAGCACAGCTCATATTTCTCTATAGGATGGTGTAACAGCAAAACGGGACCAGACCAGGTGAAACTACTATGATGAGAAAACGAGATATTAGAGAGAGAACTAACAAATATTGCTGCATGGGATAATAAATATATGATGATGAAAAGGGGTCCCCCATGTCCTCCAGCAGTCTAAGCCTATAGCAACATAACTATAGATATAGCTCAGGATAACCTGAGCCAGTCTATAAGCTTAATCAAAAGGGAAAGTTTTAAGCCTAGTCTTAAAAGTAGACAGGGTGTCTGCTGTTTTTACTAGTAAACCTGCAGATTGAGAGCGAAGTGCTCTGTTTGGGACATAAGGAACAATTAGATCTCTTATATAAGATGGAGCTTGGCCATTTAAGGCCTTACATGTGAGAAGAATTTTAAATTCTATTCTGGATACTGTTGCAGAGAAGCTATGATAGTAGAAATATGATCTCTCTTTTCAATTTTCAGCAAAACTCTGGCTGGGGACCAAGAGGAGCGTCCATTGAATAGATTGTTTTGAGTCCTGCAATCTAATGGTCTTTGCATCTCACCCCACTGGAATTTATTTCAAGTATTTTCTGGGTCTATTACCAGTTGATAAAACACCATGTTTGGATCAATGCCCAGCTGAAACGTCCAGTGATGAAGGATATCTACTTTTTTTGGTGGAGTCCACCAGATGTTTGTTTAAAATGTCCTGCTACATTGACGTTCATGATGCCCTGCACATGAAAATGGATTCCAGGGATTTTGAAAAAAAAAAAAAAAAAACAGACCTCAAGCATCATAACTCCTCCACTATACAACACTCTGATTTACTCTTCGTGGAATTCAATCCTCGTTTTACGTCAAACTCACTGGAGTGTTTGTTGTTTTGTCTCAGACCAAAGGCTGTGGTTTTAGTTTAAAGTCCATGTTTGGGCCACTGTATTAGGGCAGAATGGCGTACTACTGCATCACTCCTAAACAACCAAATGTTATCCGAACAGAAAATGCCACTTTTTTTTTGCTTTGAAGATTTTTTGACTAACCTCTCAGTTCATGAAGAGCAACATAAACCTTAAGATCCAATAAAAATATAATTATTTTTGCCGCCTGTCAATCTTAAAAATAAGGATAAACAAAAGATTAGGATTAGCTGATTTCAAAGCATAGGTTACCAAAAATGTTAAATCAACACAAAAAGAGAAATTTCTTTACCTTGTGGTTTTCTATTTTCATCTCAGTTTGAAATGTCCCTAACTCTATTATTTCCATCCAACATCCCAACCAATGACACAGACGAACTCAGCGTTTTAATAAATAGCACTTTTAGTTGCAACACCTTAAAAAAAAAAAACAAGCAGTAAAATACCTGGTACAATGTACATGTTTCAATCACATAATGTTAAGATTGGTACAGAAAATTTGTGATGATTGTTAAGTTAAACAATAGTTATTTTACAAGTTGATCATATAAGTTAGAACAAACATGCCTTTAAAAAAACACAAAAAAACAGAGAAGTGACTTATTGTGGAGCCACCCTTTAGGGGAATGTATGTCCTACACGTTACAGAGGCAAAGGTTTTGCCATATCATAGCAAATTTTAGACGCAGAAGGAGTCTACTTTTGGCAGTAATCTCCTTGGGAGGACTTTGAACTATAACTAGGATAACCAGGATAAGGTGTCCTAGTCCTAGAGTGTGTTCTCAGATGTAGTTGTTGTTGGGTTCAATCCGGTTCACTACAGAGGAAACTAGCTGCTCCATTTGTTCTGCTCGCTGTTTGCCTGTTTGGAGGACTTCCTCGTGGTTGGCCTTCTCCTCGCTGTCGTAGTCCATCACCCCTAAGTTGGTGATCAAAGACAGAGCGAAGACGCGCATGCCGCAGTGACGGGCGACGATCACTTCGTGGACAGTGCTCATGCCTAATGAAGATGATAAAAGCAACATTTGAAGTCAGATTATTTTTCCTAATGGTTGGAATCAGTTTTATCTTATCTTGCCTTGGCTTTACAGCTTATAAACTTATTTCTTCATGGCAATTAGAAAGGAAATATTTACATCAATGTACTTTAAGATGCTCTCTTGTAACTCTCCTACCAGCCTCGTGTGCAGCAACCATTTAAGTAAATAATGTAGATAAAGTTCTCTATGAATGGAGTGCCCTCCCTTCCTTTAAACATGCCACATCCCAGGTTGTATGACTTATCTTTATTGGTACCCGGTAGTTATTACTACAATAAAATCTACTCACCAACAGCATCAGCACCCAATACATGCAGCATTCGGCACTCTGCGATCGTCTCGAATGAAGGCCCCCCGAGTACGCAGTATACTCCCTCTTTCAAGAAGTCTCCGTACCCCAACTCCTGTCCCACTTCCATGGCCAGCTGCTGCAGATCTCTGTCATATGCGTCAGACATGCAGGGGAACCGCACGCCAAACCTATGAGGAAGACATTATAGAGATGTTGAGTATTGGTAGAGAAGTTCAGCTGGTTCAACGCCTCAAGAGGATATAATTACCTTTCATCATTTGGTCCAACCAGTGGATTAGTTCCAGCAAACCCGGGTAAGTTGATGTGGTCTTTGATGACCATGATGTCGCCCACCTTAAAGTCTTGGTTCAGGCCTCCAGCTGCATTGGTGATAATCACTGTCTCAACTCCAAGCAGCTTGAAGATACGCATTGGCAGAGTGATCTAAAAAACAAAAACCCATAGGGTTCAAAATTAGCTGATGTGCTTTATGGTTCTTCAAGAATCTTCAAGAAATGTTGGTTTATTATACTATAACAGCAGCGTGAATCTACCTTCTGAATTGGATAGCCCTCATAGAGATGAAAACGACCCTGCATGCAAACACAAGGCCTCCCCTTCATGGTGCCGAACACCAGCCTTCCTGCGTGTCCATGCACTGAGAAGAGACCACAACTGGTCAGTAAATATTAACAGAACATGACGGGACGGTTACCATTCAAGGACGTTTTATGTAACTCACCGGTGCTCTGAGGAAAGTTTGGGATGTCCTTATAGTCGAAGGCCACCTGGTCCTTTAAAAGGTCGGCCAACCCTCCGAGGCCGGAGCCGCACACGATGCCCACAGTTGGTCGGATGTCTATCTGCGCCAGCAGCCAGTCAGCAGTGGCCTTGCAGTCGTCATAGCTGAAACTGAATGGCATCGACACAAAATGTCAAGAGATTGGTGTTACCAAACCTGAAGCATACCTTTATTAGTAACCTCCTTCATTATGGAGGAATATTTAAACACTTTGTTAAAATATTTATTTGAAATGATGTATTATGTTTCCTTAAATATTTTCTCTTTGCATAAATCACACAGAAAACAGCCAATTGCTTAAAAAAGGAACAATAATTGAAAATAATCTTTTATATTTAGACCAACTGGATTCTATTCAACCAGATTATAACTATAAGCTTTTCGTTTTTTTTCTGTGACTATGAACTAGAGTTAAAAATTAAATTTCGGACTGCCTAAAGGTTAAAAGAAGCGCCCTCTGAACTCTCCAGTCTTGTGCACATATGTCTCTGTCTGCCACCCACCCCCACCTCCACCTCGACCCTGCCCACACATTCCTGAACCCTATTTTTTGCTCTCCCAACGTGTCCAGGAGGGACCCATGTGCTCGGCTGTATAAGGAAAGGCGTCCTTTTAAATCTCCACTCACCTCTTGTGTGTCTCTGGAAGCATTTTTGAAGATCAATTCAAAAGTTTGAGGGAAAAAAGTGGATTTTGAGTTCCAAATCAGGACAAAAAAAAAGTTGTAGAAAAATGCTGTTGTATAATGGGAGGATTCTTCAGTCTGGAATATTCTGAGGAGCTGTGGATGGTCTGTCCTGATAATGAGCAGAAGGCTGGTCTGGCCGGGTTTATATCACAGCAGGACAGAGTGCTCCTCCCCTGCTCTCAATGATTCCTGAAGAAGCTGCAACGTCATTGGCTCATTTGACACACAAAATAACACGAGCAAGAAAAAAAAAAAAAAAAAAATCAACTTCTACTTTGTTCATTCATCCCTTCCCCCTTTTAACAGGAATGTCAACAATTACACCAGTAAAATGAAAATGACTGAAAGGAAACCCTCTCTTGCAACACCTATTTTTGGTTCAGTAAATGATCAATAAGCCCTGTATTAATGTACATTGAACATTGCATTTATTTGTTCAGATGCAGAACGAGATATGACAAGAGGCTTCAACATGACGTTGGCAAATGTTTTGTTTTCAGCAACACGTGGTTTCTAATTGATCTGACCACATTATGAAAACATTATGTACTTTTTTCCACCCCTTATCAAGTTAGTAGGTTACAGTCAGATTGTCATCACGTTCTTCCCTTTGACACGAGCACATGCAAATAAAGAAAAAAACTATTGATAGAGTTCAACAGATGATAATCTGATAAGACATTTTATCGGTGTACTTTTTTATATCATCTGAAAGGACTTCTTTATAGTGAGCATAAACTCACATACTACACAAATATCCAAGCAGATCTAAATGCTATTTGTTCTGAATTAATGTTTTGATTTGACCTGAAACTGTAAATCAACCAGTGAAAAGTGCTTTTGTTTTATTTTTAGTTTAGGATTTCATCAGTTGCTGCTTTCTGAGGCAAACAAAGACAAAAAAACGACTTTGTAGATAAAAAATACAAATTATTTTTATTGCACATTCACAGATATGAAAATCCCCTTCTTGTGTAGAATTAGGTAACAACCTAGAGCTGAGATCTACGGCCTGTACGATCCAGAATGCTATTTTTGGTTTTGAACTGTGAATAGTACTGACCTTTGTTAAAAGTAAACATATTATTTCTGATAGGTAGAAAAACTTTTGCCATTTTCCAATTTAGAGAAAAAATTGAAAAAACTTCAGCAAAATAGCATGTATACATTTTCTGCTATGTGATGTTATTTGGTGTAAATTATGTAAAAAAAAACAACAACATCTTTTCTGAATAATGAGAATAAAAAGTGTCCTACTGTTGTTAAAATGCTTTGCAATTCTATAAAAAGTCTGACCTAGATTGTTAAAAAACTCTTTAGTTTTTTTAACATTTAAATTCAATGGCGAATATTCTACTCCACTGTCTGTGCTACATGGAAATCACAAATGACAAAGTTGTTTTAGAAAGAAGTTTTAGTGTTTTACATTTTAATCTTTAACTACTTTGAGATGAATACTCTTTTCCTTTACAGAGAATTAGGAAAACTTTGGTTTGATCATTCAGAAGCTTTATGTAAACAGATATTGGAAGAAAAAAAAAAGGTTAAATCTAAAGTATTTTTTTTTCTTCATTTTTGCTTCCTGCTTCCTCTTCCATCACAAGATAAAATGATCTTCTGTCTCCCAACCTGCAGACATTCTTCTAATAAAGTCTTCATACCTTTTCTGAACTCTCTCCTTACGTGAAGTAAGGTATTGAATAGTTCAAACTATGTGTGTTTCTTTACCTTTCGACATAACCATTATTTGAATGGATTTCCTGTTGAAAGTCACTTTTAGAAGTTAGATTTTTTTTGTTATTGTTAATTTTTTCTAGTAAATCCCATGTACTTAATAAGCAAGACCGCCATCAGCCCATTGAGGCCTCTCACTACTGATAGAAGGCACGGCTGGTGAATAGAAAATGAACAGAGTTGAGGCTCAAACCAGCAACCCTGCTGTTGAAATTAAGACATTTTCAATTTATTATTGATTTTTTCCAGGAATAATATATTCTTTAAATAAAATATAAACACAAATATATATTTTTTAATCATATAATCATGTTGTTCCTTTCACTATGATAGCAACTGGGCTACCCAGATTAAGAAAATGTAGGCCGTTTTTCGGCTTAGAAAATGTTTAAACATCTGAGATTGCTAAGAGAACTAAGTCCAGACAGTAACCTTTACAAAGCATTGAAGGGATCTCAGCTTATGCTGTAGAAAAAAGTTTGGTGTCCTTTATTAGCAACCAGCAGGGGTGGTCCTAAACAGGGGATAAAGGGGGGCCAGTGCCCCTATTATGTTCCCTCTACTGAAGACATAATACCAGATAATCATAATCAGAAATACTTTAATAATCCCAGAGGGAAATCACTTGGTTATTATATTATAAGTTGGCATAGAAACTTTAATTGACTGGTTTTAATTTATTTACAGGTTTACGTTAACAATAAAGACGTCACCTTCAGTTTCAGATGTATTGGGATAAGATTATAATCTTCATCTGCTAGATCACAGTCTCTAGAGCTGTGAGTGTTTTTTTGGCTCTCTTTATATATTTAATAATAACTATTGCCCTGTTTTTTTCTTTTATTCTTATGCTCTATCCCCCCATGAAAAACACCAACATGAACCAACCTGTTAAAATTGGTCTAGAACCGCCACTAGCATCCAGCTTATCATAATCTTTCTCTGGAGCAGATAAAACATCATTACCTGGTTTGTTTATGATATTTATCTCAATAGGAACACACAGTTTCAAAGCAGACTGTACTATAATGCATAATTACATCAGCTGCCAGTTTGTCATGAAATTTCCTGTTAGAAGTTGGTAAGTCTAAGAAATTGCAATTCATAGTCATAAAACATTTTTTATGGCGTGTTGGAAGGGCTCATAAAGCCTACTTAGATAACTGCCTTTTGGTTAGTTTATCATTCATCTGACTTATAGTTATGAAAGTAAACACATCAGCGGCACGAGGCACTTTGAATGGGTGAGCATACCTGTCAAGTTTTGGAATTGAAAAGACATTTTTAAGACGCGCACAAGAAATCTAAAATAAACACTTATCAACCAACATATACTGCAAAAAGGTGGTCAGATTTGACTTACGATGTTAGAGACCGTTCCCTTTGGAAAGGCTGATCAAAATGTAAAAAATAAATAAATAAATTGCATAATACAGGAAATTTATAGGAGATTGCTAATATGGCAGGACAGCGGGAAAAAGGAGTAAAACAGTAGACTTGGCAGCTATCTTGGATCGTCTGTGTAACACAAAATTAACTTTAATATAAATGTTTTAGGTTATGTTCAAATTCAATAATTTAGCTATAAATCGGCTTGAACATTTGTGACCACAGGTCCACAAAGGAGTGTGTAGTTTGGAGATTAGAGGAAGTAACATGGAAGATATCTGGCTTAAATAACTAGCAAAAGACTTGGTTAAAAGATTCTTATGCAGGAAGAAGAAAGCCAGAAGATTTCCCTAAGGTTGGGGACCTCTATGCTGGTGAAGACTCTCAGTCATAGTCATGGTCATTCCAAAAAAAAAGTAAAAAAAAAACCCACTAGACTTTGTTTCCAAATTTGAAGAAGTTTTGCTTCCCATCCATAAAGCTTTAACTCAAAACATCTGGAGTAGTGTTGAGTTCCAGGTTTTATAGAGCCTTGTTATGGCTTAGAAAACATGCAAATTGAAACAAAAAAAAAAAAGTCCAACCCTTATAAATGGGGAGTCATTAAGGTTGTTGTTGGCCTGCAAAATAACCATAAACTGGCCCATGCCTCTGTAACGGGGAGTTGTTAGGGTTGGTGTTGGCCTGGCTTAACAGGCGCAATGTTTTCACCACCCTTCATGGCGATGAGGATTGAGGCGATAGTGGGAAGGAATCAATTCTAAAACTGCGTTGTAGGTTTTTGAGAACTGAAGCCTGAGTCCACCCCCTCTGTTTAAGGTTGCTTTTTTTCTCTCTTAACATACATGGCTTCCTTTATACCCCTTTCAAACCATCTGTCTCTCAAACAAGTGTCTCCTGTCCTTGAGGTGCAGGTGGACAGCAGCGTCTTGACCAGAGGAGGTTGCTCGCCTGTGTTGAGACATGCGTCTGTGGCGAGATTGTTTGGTTTCTCCAATATAAGATCAGAGAATTTCTCACTGCACTGAACTGCATACACAACTCTCATACAAGGTTTGTTGATGGGAAGCAGAATGTCTTCAAACTTGGAAAACAAAGTCCAGTGTTTTTTTTTGTTTTTTTTTTTTAAATTGGGGGATCTCTAGTGCAACATCATTTAGTATCTTTAACCTAATTCATGTATATTTGAGATGCTATTTAAAAGCAGTCTGTAAAAAGGCTTCCTTGGCTTTTCATGGATGCAGGTACCACACTACCTTGCTCAATGACTGGGCTGCAGTGGTTGAGAAGGCATATAAATTGGCAGTTAAAAAAATATATTGGAGAAAAAAATGTATTGGAAGATAATAAGGATTAGTCGGTAGTTGACGAACAAGCGCTATAAGTGCTTAAACCCTGGATGCATAACTGCATTTAGTCAGTTGTATGCTGGTAAAATCATGGTAAGATCATTTGGTGGCACTCCAAGGCAGCAGCCAAGAGCAGCTCATCTCGACAATTTCACAAAATACACTGCTTGAAATAAAAAAAACTAGACATTAAACCCGTATCTATGATCGCCACCACCTGTTAGAACTACGGTCAACAAAATGTTTTAAATACTGAGATTTTTGACTGTTTAAAAAAGCTGCTACGGGCTGATGTAAACGAGATAACAGCAGAAAATAACGGACGGAGGAAGAGATGTGTGAGACGGAGATGCCAGAAGAAGTGAGTGCTGCAGGAGCTGGAGGCAGTAGTAGCAGCTCAACAAAAACTGATGCTTACCTTATCAAGGCTGCACTTAAAAAAATGAAATTGTCTAGAGAGCTGTTCCAAACGGAATTTTGTTTTGTCTACACTTCCAGTCATAGATCTTATAGTCGACAGTAGTGACCTCTCCCAGAGATTACAGCATCACTCCTGCGAGAAAACTGAGGGAAAAACGAACAGAACCCTAGGGATGACAGGAGAGTTGTTTGGGGGGTTAACATTTTTTTAAGATCGGCAGCAGTGCATACC